ATCAATTAAAACATCCAAACACAATAATGATATAGACACAGGGCAATTTATGGAGATGGCTAATTACCTGCATTCTCCAGTAAGTAGATTTTATTGCCCAAGAATGGACAAGTGATGCATGAGGAGAAAAGAAACAGCATTGCAAAAATACTGGTGGCAAGGTTAGGAAAAAAAAAAAAAGAAGAAAATGGCAAGGGATCAATGTTTCTATTGTTAAAACTATACTAAAAGAACAAACCCTGCACTGTTAGCAGCACTCAGGCACTCTGAGGTGTGTGCTTTTGGAGATTGATGTGAATTTTAGAGAACACATTGATAATATTGTCAGTGTTTATGTCTTATAATATGACATTTGAGGTTTCTAAGCAATCAAGATGCACCATGAGGTGGTCATTTGAAAAGGGAAAATACTAATCACTGTCAGTTTTTCATTTCATCCACTACTGATCTGGATCTGAACACGTGGCTCCCCTGGGGCTCCAGGTCCCTGGACACGATGCTGGGAGACACCCTGAAGCACAGCTGCATATGCAGCACTCACCTGGGGATGAAAGTACAACTGAGGGGCATGACAAATGCAAAAGAGGAATGGAATGGAACAATTAACATCCTCCTGTGTTTCCTGTTCCCTCCTACACTCCCTCTCTGGCTTTACAGCTAAATTTTCTCATTTCTTGTGATGCAGTTCAGGAACGAGATATGCAAACTTATTATCAGATACTGTTCTTCATTTCCTGTACAGTCTGGGGGGAAATCCTTATGCTAGTCCATTCTCTGTAACTCTGGACTTTTTGGAATTGTGTAGGGCAACTACAAATACAACAGTGATTGGACTGGCTGGTGAAGTGCCTGAAGCCACAGCTGCCCTGGCAGGTTAAACTCAGTGCTGCATTTCCTGCAGAGTGAGGACTCCGTGGTTCTCAGCAACACAGGGCAGTTTTGGCAGGGTCTCGAGGGGGTTTTGGCTGAGCAGAACAGATATAGTTTTTTCACTTGCACACCTATGTCCAGTCCGTTGGCAATGGAGAAGCTGAAAATAACATCACTGTGATCATGACTGTTTTCCAGTCCTTGTTGATGTGTCTTTCAGGCTGGCACTGAAATCGCTGAGACTCCAAAGGCAGACTGGACATGCCAGTGATAATTTCACCTAACACATTAAATGAATGGTGACAGCAGTTCCTCAGAGCCCTGGCAAACTGGAAATTGTTTGATGCAGAAGAGGCAGTACAATGATAACACAGTTAATCTTCCACAGGGAAATGATAGTAAAAGAAATGTCTTTTAGATTATCTGCCATTAAAGTGAAACATCTGCCTCTGCAGGTCGAGTGGAATGTCCTCACTTATGCCCGTTGAAGCTCATTAAAGTTCCTGGGTTTGCATGGCTGTAGGCCAGAGCCAAATCTCCACCGTGATCTAATCTGAGAAGGACAATGAATTGGGCTGAAAGTCAGGAAGATGACTTTCCCATGACTTTTTGATGTCAGCTTCAAAAATGCGTGTGATCAGTTGCTGACCTTGGCTGATGTGTTCAGATTCCCTGAGTAGCTGGGAGCACATAACTAACTGAAATAGGAAAAATAAATGGGAGTGATATGTTCTTAAAGGAAATAAGACCTTTTGAGATCACAAAACTTCAAAGTTTAGCTCTGTCTGAACTCTGAGGAAAAGCTTCCAGTTGAATATCCAATTCCAAACCATTTGTCATCATTTCTAAGATGTTCTTTGCCTGTTGGACTACAGAGCATAAGGTCAGAAAACTTTACTTGTGTAACTGCATTTGTGACATTCTCATATCTGATTTTCCTTTTATATTCTTGTAAGGAATGCTGAATACTCCACAGTGCCAAGACTGGTAACCAGCTGTCTGAAAGCACAATTGGGAATGTTTCTGCACAAAGTTTTCTTTCATTATTCATTCCCTGGTAACTCTGTACAAGGTAGTATTTTTGCAGCTATGGCAGCCTGAGTGAGGCATTAGTAACTTTGAAGAAGACTTTAAAGGAACAAAATTCATAGGGAGCAAAGGAATACTTGGTAGTGTCTGTATACAGCTCAGAGCTTAATAAACTACAGATATTTAATCTTTCCTTGGGGTGAATGTAGCTTCAAACTGGGTTAAGTGGGCATCCAGTTCCACTGCTTACACAGCTTATCAGGCCATATGCTCTTCTTGATGACACTAGTATTGATTCATATAAATATATTTGAATATTCTTAGTGGTTATCTAACACTTACAGCAGCATGCCATAGGAATAAGTCCTAGAGCACACTGCACAAGAGACTTTCAAGGAGAACAAGTTACAGCAAAGTTCCTTTTGTAAGTGGCTTCGAGCATCAGCTTCATGCACAGCATGAGGGATGTGTCTCAAAGCAGCTGGAAACAGCTCCACAATCTTGATGAGTTGCAGCTTAACACGAAAGGAGCACAGAGATGTGACCACTGCAGGTTTCCTATCCAGATTCTTCAATCTGGAAGTAGTGGAAATAATATCCTCTTAGAAAATGGCATGTACATAATGAAGTAGGTGACTCAGCTGAGTGAACCCAGACCTCAATATGGGCATGACAACAGATAAGAATGAGATTTATCAGCTTGGAGGGGAGGGAGATCTTTGCTGGTAGGTACTGATAGATTTCTGGTGCATAACTGTTGCTGGGGGGGAGGCTGGGCTGAGGGGAAGGCAGCCAAGGGAACTCCCCAGGGAGGACAATGCCCTCTCTGCTGCCATAGCTTGTTGGGCAGAGCAGCAGTCTGCGTGGAGCCAGGCTCAAGTGCAGTGATCCCATTAAGGCATCTTAAATGGTCTTCATGGCCTCAGTAGCACTGAATGGCAGATGACAATTAGCCTCAGTTATAACCAGAGGCAGCGATGGTGACTGTCTGTTCAGGCTGCTGGGTGCTCAGGGTACTGCCCTGCAAACTGCAGCGTGCTGGGGTCTGGGAGGAAGAGACCATCTCCTGGCAAAGCACAGCACACCAGAGCAGTGCAGGGTGTGAGTGTGCAGGCAGAGGGGTGCTTCTGGTCAGCTGGGGCACGGGCTGGGCAGCAGTTGAAGTAGATGGGTCACGTTTAATCCTGTCTGCTCCCCAGGACTCTAGGCAATGGGTGTCAGAAGGGGTTGTGGTGAGCATGAAATTGTGCTAGGCATGCATAATGCAGGGATGCTGCTAATCAAACCCCTCTCACTGTGACTAATCAGAAAGATCTGTTTGGTATTCCAAGAAATTAGTTGGAAGAGCAAGCACATAATAGAGGAATAAAGAACAAATAAGAAGCTTAGGCACAGGCAAAGATAAAGACTTTGATCACAGTAGTTCAGCACAGAAAGAACAGAGGAGATAAAAGAAGCAAATAAAAATGCTGAAGAGAACAGTTAAGATCTGCTGAGAGAAGCAACCATTAATCTAGCCATGAGGAACAGATAACAAGTTATGTGCCTTCCTGGTGCTTAAAGAAACAGCAGCTATAGGCACCTGACAACAAATCTTTCCTCAGCATCACTCTATAGCAGTTTTGCAGGGATGCATGTGGTCCCTATTTTTAAAGGAAACACTATTTAGGAGCAATAAATGCACTGTATTCAGAGCAGCAAGGAGTAACATACTGCTTAACAAAACAGCAACGCAGAGAAATTCCTATCTGTTGGTTGTTATTTGAAGAAAAATGAACAAAGGTTGTTCTTTCAGCTTGCAAATGCAGTCAGCAGTTGTTTAAGGATATAATTTCATGCTTGGAAAGAAACTATTCTGTAGCATCTTGATGCCAAAAAGGAGCAAAAGGTATTCATCAGTGTCACTAGGATTAAAGTCAGAGTAACTTCTCTTGCATTTGGAAGGACAGAAGCCCAGTCTTACCTGTGCTCTAAGGGAAGAAAAAAGGAGCATGCAGAGAAGAAAAAAACAGATGCAGGGGTACAGATGGTGTCAGTGCATTATTGGGTTGGTTGTGTGGTTGCTGAATGAATTTGCACTCTGGACTGTTGCCTTTCAGAAAACAATGTAACCAAAAAGAAAACGTCCCTCCCAAAGCAGCAGAGGGGGTCTCAGTATTGCTTTCATCTTTGTTTCCAATAGTAGTTTCTATTTCCCCCCCTGGTTGTATCATCACACTCTGAAAACATGGAGAACTCACTTGTGGTAGTCAAAACAAATACAGGAGTCTGTTGGTTTGGGCCCCACCTCACTTTGTACACAGTGTAGGCATCCTGCTCCCAGACAAAGCTGTGGGTGACACCCCAAACCATGCAGAAACTGGGTGTATTGGCACCCAGGGTGAAGTCTGGAGTTCTAGCTGCCTCCTGTGTGTCCCAGATAACAGGGATGTTAGATTGGATGTTTCATCTCTGTTGAGTCTCATCCTTCATATTATCTATGTTCCCTGGGACAGAAAAACAGTTTACTTGGCATTTGGACTGCTCCACTCCCCTGTGTCGGTGCTGACCATTGCACATCCACTAGCTGGTGGCAAGGGGAGTCCCTCCCTTCTGGAGTGGGTCATCTCAGTGGTGTTAACACACAAGCTCCTTCACAAACACATCACAATGTTATTTGTCACTGATCTTTTTGACTGGCCCATAAAAATAAGGCTACTTGATTGAATTGTATGTGTCAAAGCTAACCAAATGAATAGCAAGGAAATACAAGGTTATTATTCCTAAACTGCAAACTGATTGAACATCCTCCTTCATTAGGATTGGAACCCATGTGTTAGAAATAGTTCAGATTAGCCAGACAAAACCTCTTCACAAGGGGAAGTTTGCATACAGCCACAATAATTTAAAAAAATACTGAATACTGCAATTTGCCTTCTTATCATAATTTCAGATAGCAAAACACATCTAACAGAGCTTTCTACTTCTAAACTTGCTGTACCAAGACTCAGTGCCATGTCTGTTACATATTTATTGTGAGCTCTTCATCTCTCCCTTCATTCTTGCAGTTTCACAAACAGACTAGGAAGCAATCAGACACTGGAAACCCCCAAACAGAGAAGTTAATGTATGCTGCAGCTCGACGCCTCTCGCTTAAGTCTTGTTTTCAGCTTCTTAAGTTCAGTATTTTTATCAATTTTCAGGCCATAGTCTGTGATTGTCCAGGCCTCTTCGTAATGCTGCCTGTCAAAATTACATTGTGCAATCTTATGAAAAGTTTTGGTTAGAATTTCACTGCCTGGGCCATTCATGATGCTGCACAATGCCACAGATTCATCCAGCTGCAGGGCTTTGATATACTGCTGAACTGCTGCCTCTTCCTCAGCCAGTGACAGCAGCAGCTGTCCTTGTGAGCAGTGGTCCTCAACACGAGTTTTAAGACTGTTAGAGCCATGCTTCTGGATCACTTTCTCCATGTCTTGCAAAGCTTTGTCATATCTTTGCAGGTGCATAAGGCAAGCAGCTCTCTGTCGCAGGTACCTGGGGTTCTCTCTGCTTGCCAGCACAGCCAGGGTGTAATAACCAAGAGCCCTCTCATGGTGGTAGCCTTTAACCAGCACACTTCCTTCCTGGGCTGCTACCTGTGGATGGAAAGTCACTTGATATTGGTTATGAAAAATGGAGGGGAAAAAAAAAACCCAAAGGAGTAAAAGATCTGGTCTGGAGCAGCCACAGGTAGACTCAGGCATTAAGAACTTTTGGATACTTTTTAAGATGTTGACATTGAATCTAGTTGGCAAACATGTAATTGGGATATTTTTTGCATGCATACATAAAAATCTCAGATTACAAGGGGCTTGCTGTTATCTCCAGAGGTTTTGAACCCCACTCTTTATTTCTGTGTGTTTTGCTGAAAGTTTCTCAGGATATTTCTTCTTGGGTTGTTTATGTTCCTTAGGAATGATTTGTGAACTGAAAACTGAATGGACCCAACTCTAAAAGTAGTCAGTGTTCTCTTCATGACACTAAATTCCTGCCCTGCTCTGCTCCAGCAGGTGACTCTGTGGCAATTGCAGCTGCTGGTGAAGGGAAAGTCAGCCCTGGGTGCTGCCCAGCACACAGTCTGTGTGCTAATAAGGGAGGGTGATCTCCACTGACCTTTAGCAAGCTAGAGAGAAAATGGCAACTGAGGGGTTTGCTGATCGTTAATCTCAAGTGCAAGCAAACTAGATTGCCTTATCTGGAGGGAAAGACAACAAGAAAATAGAGAAGGCAGAAAAAGCCACATAATTTTTAGGTTCATAGAGGTCAGTAAAGAAAAATCCATTATAACTATTTGCCTCAAATGGATTTCTCATTTATTGGTAATAAAGCAAGCTTTTAACATGCTGCAGCAGAGTGAATATTTAAGTTATAAACAAGACTGCCCCCAGCAGCTGAGGTCTTACAGGAGGCTGAGCCAAACAAGCTGGGACTCCAAGCAGGGTCACTGTTTTCAGTGGAAACCATGGAGTGGTCTCATTCCATGGGATGTCACACCTTGCCCTTGGGTGGCTGGGGCTCCCCGAAATTCAGTTAGCCCAGCCACTGTCTCAGCAGCCACACTTGACAGCCAGCTCAGGTCTTCAGCCTCTTTTTGTGCCTTTTTATTTTGGTTGATTTAGATGAGAATCGATTGCTGTGTGAGAGAGCCAAGGAGAACAGGTTTGGATGAAGTGGCTCCATCCTGCAGGTTGGGTCTGAGCGCCTCATCTGAGACCAGTGCCACGAATAACTCAGCCAGTCCTACCAGTCTGTGCAGAATTCTGCCCCAGCTATTTTGCTCTAAAGGAATATAAACCCCTTGGTGTATAGCACAGATGGATTAATTAGCAGCTTACGTGCACTCCATAATCTGAACAGAGATGAGAAGACTTGTGGAAAGGAGACCTAGGAAGCTCATAGAAAGCCAGAAGGATATTGCACAACTGAGTTCAGCTGCTCTCTGCCTGTGGCTTTTGAGAAGCACTTTGTTACCATCAGCCTCATTGCTGGTGACTTTGGAAGGCCCAGAGCAGGCTATACATAACCCACCTTCAAACCTGTCACTAAAGACTTTGTTATGGTTTCCAGATTGTAATAATTCTGGTGACATCTGAAAAGGGCTTGGCATAGGTGACTGGTGACTGGACTGCTTCCTGGATTAGGTCTCTGTACCTTCCTACCATCAGGTTACTTCCCTGTGTCACAAAGGACTGAAAACAGACATATTTTTGTTGCATTTTTGTTTCCAGTCTCTAGTGACTAATCTTATGTTGAAGGTGACCAGGGCTCAATTCCCTAGACAGAAAATGAGAGAGGAGTTTAATGGGCATGGAATTATGGCAGAGGGTTAGTCTCTGAGCAGTAAGTACCAGAACATGGACTGACTGACTGGCACAGAGGTTTGGAGAAGGGCTGGATGTTTTCAGTATAGTCTGGAGCATGTCTGTCCTTCTTTACCCACAGACCCTGTTTGGAGTCCATGCAGGCATATGGAATGGCAACTTCTGCCTTGGGCTGAGGACCTAATTCTGACCCAGACCATAGAGCTTTTGAGGCCATTTTTGTGGGGGTCAGCTCTGGCTCTCCCATGGCATGTCAGCAGCCAGGTCTGAGGACCTGGGCTAGGAGCTAGAGATCAGTCATGTGTTCAGCCTCTGACATAGGAAACTGAAGGGTTGAAGCTGCACTAGCAGCAAGCAAACTCCCTTCCTCTGACCTTTTGCAGTTTAATAAGTCTTTCAGATTCCTATTCCCATGTGGCTCTCCCAGTTGTTTACAAATTTCTTAGCATAGGACCCCTTAGACTATAAATAATGGAAGAACCTCGTTGCTTTGTTTTTCATGAAAAAAAATCAGTACATCTAGGAGCTCCCCTTCCTCCACCCTTTCCTATTCAGCTTATGTGGAAGTATTTTTAGCTTCTCACACCAGACTCCAGGATAATGATGACACATTTCTATAATGCCTGTGATCTCCAAACACTCAATGCTTTTGTGTGGGGAGTGCTGAAACTAAGGGCTGAGCATAAAGCACTGAACTCTTCTTTGCTTCACTCTCCTTAATTGTGAAATGGAGATAACAGAAAGAACACTCTTCCCTAGACTGTAGTGAGGAGCTGTGGCAAAGTAAGGCCATCAGTGGCTTTTTGGCACTAATTCTCTCTAAGCTTTTTCATTTTTACTGAGATCTTCCTTTCACACACAAACTGGAATAACTTTGCAGGCAAAAGGAAGTGCTGCTGGAAAATCCTTCGAGACACCAGGCAGGTGAATTAACCCATTCCTTCCCCACTCCACTAAAGTACATGCCTATCCCCTTGTCACAAAAAAAAATCCCACTATTAAAAATTGTTATGATTCTGGGCTAGTCAGTAATGAAAGGAATCACACTCAGTAAATCTTTGAAGATTAGAGAATATGGAAAGACTTGTAGGTGCTTGGCACCAGATGTTTACTGGGTTGTACAAAACCACAATGTTAAAGTTTTTTTTTTTAAAATAATTGACTCTATTTTACTTCCAACACTGGTATTGAGTTCCAGTCCTGAAATCAGTCCAGCCACCCCTATTTCAAATGGCAGAGGAATCTTTCATGATAACTAAGCCACCTGTAAGGGGTTATATTCCAGACCAAAAAAGGCAGAAATAAAGTGCCTCTCCTGTTCTAAAGGTGTCACTGATCTGTGGCACCAGTGAGTTCCTAACACATCAGTGCAGTTTAAGGTGTGCAAAGATTAGCTTGTTTTTTTTTCTTTAGTTTTTTATCTTATTGGTGACATAAGAAAATCCTCCTGTGTATCCTCAGAAGGCAGCACGGGTGGACTTGGCTGTGAGACTTTGTACAGAACCAGTGCTGGGACAGCAAGGGAAATTCAGCTGCAAAATGTGTGCTCATTTCTAGAGACCTCCTTCAGGCCTCCAGAGACACATTCTTCATTGTACCTTTACCAACTTTTTATAGTGAAAGATTGCAAATTGGCTCTGAAATCCTCAAACTCTTCCCTGTAAGACTGAGCTTTCACATTATTCAGAAGAGAGGGGCTCTTTTCTTGGTAATGAGGTGTATTTAGGGACTGGTAAATTAATACTTGTTTACTTATATCCTCCTGCTGTTTTGCTAAAATACATACAAAGTGCTCCTCTCCAGATGCATTAAGTATGTCAGCATGTTGTTTGTTTTATAACCTGGGAGAAAGCATGACAATATAGCTGCTCAGCAGGGCCCACACGAGCTACAAATTGAATAAAAGGAAGCAAACTGATTCTCAGAACACAGAGCTTCTGGGTAATCAGGACTGCAGATGCTTCAGTGAATGTTAAAACTCCTCACCATCAATCTGCCCTTGCCTGTCTTATTATTGGAGATGCTTTCTCAGAGCTGGATGTACTTTGGAGGAGAAACTTGAAAAAAAATCCTGAAAAAGACATACTTGAGTGGACTAGAGCAACGTGGCATCTTTGTGCCAAACAGCTTTGCTGAAGAAAAGCAATGGCAGCCTCAAAGGCTAGTCATTTTATAAAAATATTTAAAACTCTAAATGTTACATAAAAGAGCAAAAAGGATTGAAGCATTTAATGTGGCAGCATCAGAACCTTGAGTTTCATCAAGGAAATGAACAAACCATGAATTTCCCTTCCCCAGAGGACAGCTACAAGCACCACGTAGCTCCTGCAGAGTATGATACTAGCAATGACCTTGGTAAATCTCTGGCTGCTGCCCCTCACATGCTCTCATTGCAGTGCTGGGAACAGACAGGTCTCGTGCTAGGGAGAGCAACAAGAAGTTCCCCCTGGCAGTAAGGACTGATCACAATAAGTTATTAGAGACTGAAGCAAGGTCACTGCAATGAAAGAATTTTGGATTCCACTCCCTATTCTGTCTGGAGGAAGAGGCCAGTTTGTTCCTCGTTCATCTGATAAATGGTCTTCCCACACACTTCTGTTCCAAGACAAGGCAGGGAAAATCTCTGCAGCCTAATTTTGCTTCCCATGTCTTTCCCCACTGCATCCACAGAGGTGCCATCAAGAAAGGATTGTACCTGAGAGAGATGCTGCTGTTGCTTGGCGTCTACAAAGCTGAGGAGAAACCCCAGCTCCCTTTCATCTCTCTTGGCTAGGGTGCTGAAGGAGTGAGCTGCCACTGCCACGTTCCTCCTCTTCAGCTGCAGCACAGCTAGTCTTGCACTAGCAAACTCATCAGCAGGAGAGTGGCCAAATGCTTCCTGAAGGTGATCAAGGGCCTCTTCATCCCTTCCTGTGGGGTAACACCAGTACAGGCTCTGTGACCCATTCGTTCCATGGGAGAAGGAGACATGAAGAAAACTCACTAAAGCAGGATTTAGGTAGCCTGTCCACATCTAAGGGTATTAATTACTTTATACCCTTTCCCAAAACGTTTGCAAACTTATCTTGAAAAGTTCTATACAATAATACACTTGCTGTTAAACATTTGCTTTCTTTTAACTTACTACTTGTTCACTTAGTCTGCTCAGCTACAAAACAGAACAGGAACTTACCATTTGCAATCAAAGCATCTGTGTAGAAGATGTGGTATTGTGCATCCCTGCAAATTTTAATTAGTGCTTTTCCAATCATGAGAAGATCCCTGAGGGTTTCTTCATTGGAAAGGTCTTTAGCAGCAAGGAGCTCAGTTAACACAGTCCTGCCATGCTGAAGGAGCCATTGAGTGACCAACCTTTGGGCTTCAGGCTTCAAAGACAGGATTGCTGGGATCACTGCTCCTGCCTCCACCCTCAGTGCTGTGATCAAATCTTGCACTGCCTCCTATGTGAAAAGAAGACCAAAAAAATGCAATGGTAGCAAAAAACTAGGTATTGGGAACTTGTTCTTTGCATTCTCTGCTCTCCCACAGCTCATCTGCACACCTTTGGAAGCTCTTTGCTCTTCCCTGTCCTTGTGCTGCACCTTCTCCATGTGCAAAGCTGACATGACATCATAAAGACAGGTTTGAGTAACTATTTTCCAAGTGTTTGGGACTCCTGAGACTATCATTGGAAAAAAATTGTTACAGCAAGGAGGAAGGGATGCTGTGAATGAGTAAGTGCAAGGGTTTGGCTCTGCCAGGATAGAGCAGCACAGATCCACACACCCCACTGGAGATGCACCAGTTCACATTCTGTAGCACTGGTGTGATATGCAGGTACAGTGCAGGCTCATGGCTGAGTTAGATCAGATAAGCTGTGGAGACATCTGCTGAGGTTCCCAGGCAGTGGTGTGCTGCAGTCTCCAAGGCCCACAGCACACTGATGCACACGTCAGCTTTTCACAGGTGATGGGAGACTCACCACACCTTGTGCTTGCTTTTCTCCCTTGTTTTTTGTTGCTACATTTCATCTAATGCATCATCACATCCTGAAATGTGAGAACAAAAGTAGGGGAGAGTTTGCAGTGATACTGAATAAGATCTATGATTCTAATGATTTATGATTCTGTGATTGGGGTTTAGTCTTCCTCTCTAGAGCTGGGAAGGTAAATCAGTCATGTCAAGTGGACTCCTTATGCCCTCAGCCAAAACAAGAGCCTTTCAGTCCCCAGATTCTGTGAGAAACTCTTTTGGTTTCAGTGAGTCTGTGACAAAGCCTGTGGTACCTTACACTAGTATTGCTTAACATTGCCAGAAAAATCACCAGGAAATCATGACAGTGAGAATACCTTCTGCTGCTGCAGTGCAAGGTAAACGAGTCCTCGTCCACTTAGAGCCTGCACGTTCCTGGGGTCCTCCTTCAGGATGGCATTATAGTCAAAAATAGCAGTTTTCTTCTGACCAAGGTGCCCATAGCATCGGGCCCTGAGGAGAAGGCAATCTTCTGCATAACCCCCTGGAGCAGAGAGAAGCAGCCAGGCTCAGCTGGGAGGTCTCACCTGCTGCTCCAGAGCAGGGTGCACTAAATCCCAGGGTGTGCAGACCACTGAGTTCCACCAAAGTGCCTGGAAGCAGCTAAGGGAAAAGGATGCAGTAGATGTACATGTCTTACAGTGACTGCAGGAGTGAAAAGGAAGCACCACTTTGTTATTTTAGCATGGTGCAACAGCAGCCACACAGATGGGAGAAGCAGCTCTGGCAGTAAGATAAGTGAGCGTGGAGGCACAAGGCTGTTGGGCTGCTTTAATAAAGTGGAGTCAGAAGGTGCACATTGCTTTGAACAAAACAGTAATCCAGGTGGGGCAGACTGATTTACTGCCACACTTAGCAGGCACTGGGGTTTGTGATCCTAAGATTCCTTTTGTCTCAGCTTTTGTGTTAAGGGCTGCCCCAATAAACACGTGTAGTTAACGATGAGAAGCACGGTCCAGCCGTGCTCTGGCTGCAGAGCATCTCCCTTCCTGCCACCCACATGCCCCTGCCTTTCAAGGCAGTTCAGTAAGGATCTAAACATGCCCAGAGCTGCAGTCCATAACTGTGGCATCCCAACAGTGGCTGATGAATCATCAGTGCCACTGTAAATATTTCCTCCTAGGGAGGTCAGTGAGCACAGCTGCCTGCAGAGAGGAGCCAGAGAGAGGAGCCAGCAGACAGGCTCCTAGTGAGTCTTTTACAGTAATGAGGCTTTTTCTCCCTCCTGATATGCTCCAAAACTTCTGTACCAAAGGTTATTATCGCTCTGGAGCTCTACCAATTGGCTCCTGTAAAGACTATCTGTTTCTTCACAAGCATCTGTTCTGGCAGGTGGGGAGCTGATAAGCTGGAGTGCCTGGGCTGTGAAATGGAACCATCTCAAAGCAATTAGCAGAGTTTTTTTCCATTTTCATAAGCCAGTCTCTCAACACTGCTGTCATAACATTTGCTCAGAGTGAAAGGCAGATTTCCATACAAATATGGTTTTCCTTGGAAGGTGCCAGGAGCATTTCCATGTCAGCCTGATGCCTCTGCTCAGGCCAGGCCAGGAGGATGCTGCATGCAAGGGCTGCATTCCCTCTTGCACTGGAACTACACGTTCTGTGGTGTGTTGCAATGAGAGGGCAGGTTGTCTGCTGCACTGACTGCACTTACAGCATGCTCCCTCTGGTGAAACAGGAGGTGCCAAATAAATTGCATTGGTAGGAAGGTTTTCAGGGTACTAATGGATGCAACAGACTAAAGCTAAAACATGGGACTGCTTCTACAGTGCTTGGCTAAAATGGGCTGAAGCTGGCTCTGTTTCAGTAGCTTTCCAAATTCCTTACCAGCTAGCATCTCCTCTGCACAAAACAAACAGGATGAAAGCTTCTTCTTTCTTCTGGAAGCTGTACTTGTGAGAAAATCTGTGCCCATGTGTATGAAAAAACATGTGGTTACAGATCAATTTGTCCAGACCAATTACTCAGAAGCAACCTACAGCAACAGAACAGTAATTGCAGTCTGATGTTTGGTAGCAGGTCTACCAGAACAAAAGACTGTAAAGGAAGACATCCATTGTGTTTCCTGTGCACTCTCCACTTTACACTTGTGGAGCAGGAAAAACAGGGAAGTTATTAGCTCAGAAATTTCAAACCACCAGCTGGAGATAAATAGTTTCAGGATGTTAAGGATCTTTTCTAAGTTATAAAGGAACTGTGGGTTCTTTGTGTTGATATGACCTAGTAAGGGTGGTTTAAGCCTGAACTTAACTTCTAGCACCTGAACAATGCAATTTAAAATAATTCTCAGCTATGTGCTCCAGGAGGATTTCATGTTCTAAATAACAGAACAAAATCACATGCTGAGTTTTCTGGACAGGTGAAGAAAAGGGAGTGATGCCCCTGTTGGTGATGAACCCATTGCAAGGAGTTCACAAGCTACTTATGTGGCAGTAGGAACTGCAGTCACTGTTTAATTGCACTATTTCATGGTCCAGAGGAGCTGCTACTTTAAACAAGTTTCATCCTGCTCTTCACCTGCCTTTGCAAGTCTGTTGTTTCAGTCTTCTCCTGGGGGAGGTGACAGATGTGGATGGGTTGGGCATCCTTGCCTGGTCTGATTTCCCACAGAAGGAAATTTCCTGTCGCTGTCTGGATAACCCTACCTGAAGCAATGATGGCAAAGGACAGGTAGGCAATGGCCTCTCTGGTGCCAGCAGCCTCCTGCCTGCTCTCCAGGATGGCCAGTGCCCGGGACCGGCACTGGGGGTGCAGCAGCTGCCGGTCGGCGGCCGTGAAGATCTCCATGATTGGCAGGAGGCAGGAGGTGTCTCCAATCCTCATCACTTTCTTTAGCAGCTTAAAAGTGTGAGAGAAGAAGGCAGAAGAGAAAGATTGGTATGCAAATATAAGTGAAGTCAGGCTAAAGCTGGAAATATTGCTCTCTGGTGGGACATGCATGGTCTAACCTAGTGCTTCCCCAGCTGCAGTGGGGCTTCAGCCAGCCAAGGACCATGAATCTCTTTTGCTTAACTCCTCAGCCAGCCCTAGTGTAAATGTATGTTGGAGAAAACAGCAATTCTGATCTTTTCTCACCCCCACTGCAGCTGTGGAAAACATTCTGGGGAGAGATAGAACCCTGCCTTGCTTACTTTGGGCAGCATCTGCTCCAGAGTGGCAGTTAACTGGTTTTATAAATCCAGCTGAACCACGGGATGATTGCCCCACAGGGAGGAAGTTTCTGTGCAACAGAAGGATTCCAGTGACCACTTTTGACTGAAAAATTGAAACCAGTGAATTAATGGAAACTCAGGGAGGTGCTGTGCCTTTCTTTTAGTATTGTCACTGGGAATGTGGGAAAAGTATGGATTGAAATCCACAGACTATGGCCCTCCTGGAGAAGAATCTTGCCTGAGATCAGGTATCTTTGCCTCCATTCACTAGAGTCACAATTACCAACCACTTTTTAACTACATTTCCACATTTCCTAAGGAAAAGAATAAAAAAAAAATGTTCCCTCCAGTAAAGCAAAGGTGCTTAGCACATTTAGTACTGGTTATGCAAACCTCAGCCAGAGAAGCCAGGACAAGAACAACGTTATCTTGATGCATCAAATGCATCCACTGAACTTATTACTTTCTCTGGTTTGATTAATAGATACAAGTGTCTGGGTGCTGACAGGCAGGTGGGGCAAAAACATTATGAAGAGACTTTTATGGTAACACGTGTTCAAACTAGAACTTGTAGCAGAAGCTGCAGATAGGAATCCAACTTCCAAGGGCAACGTATGGTCTGAGATGAAGTCAGGTCATTCTTTGATAGCCCTCCCAAAGGCAGAACCTCTATTTTCATGGGAATAGTGAAGGCATGGCAGTAAAACCTTTCTCTTCATGGCTCACAGAATTTACCTGGGATTTTAAAAAAAATGCAACAGTTCCCTCGGATGGCAGGAGCTGGTAATGCAGCTTTGGAACCCCATGGAATCTCCTGCTTTCAAGCACGAGTCCTTAGCCACTAAAGAAAGAAAACTACAGACTGATGTTTGAGCTTCTGGTTTTGTTTGTTCCCCCACCCTCTTCCCACAATGCTTCATTAGGATAATCAGTTAGGCAGTAGTTCTTCAGGGGAAGATTACCCATCCCATCAATACTGACAGCAGGGGCAGGATGCTCAGTCATGCTCTGCCTGGTTAAAGCCTCTGATGAAAAGTGCCATTAAATAGTGTGTGATGAATGGGCTGTATTTAGAGAAGAGTCCTTGTGTGGCCTGGGCTCCAGACAAAGTCCCACTTGTGAGGCCTGGATATAGATCTTAGAAGTTCTGTTAGAGGTTGAACTACCTAAACTCCACGTGAGCTCCGAGTTTCACTGTATCAACAGTCCTCACTGCTGCTGTTCATGGGGCTCCCAACAGCAAACTGTGTAGTTTTGAAATGGAAATGCATGTGAACCACTGAGCACGACCATGTGATGTGTAACTTCATCACAGTCAGAGTGAAGCAGTATCAAGTCAGGTCAAGTGCAGCTATTCAGCAGGGAATGACCCTGCAGATGAAACTGCACTGCCCTGAACCACAGCAGCCTGCAAAGCTTGAAGTGAAAAATTCCCTAGAAAGCAAGCAGGTTAATTTTTTTTTGTGAAAGTCAATTTTTTTGGTATAACAACTGCTGAGGAGCAGGAGATAAGCCAAGCACTGTGCTGGGAAACTCAAAGCCCTTGGAACACCCTCTGGAGCAAGCCTAAGTCTCTCAGGTGGTCCCTCTCATGTTCTGCCATGCCACTGCTTTATCAGCCAGAAGAGCTGCTAACCCCCTCCACCACACCATCCCTGGTCACTTGTTCCCTCTGCTATCCAGGTGCTCCTTACCTGGTTGCCATCATACATGAAACCTTTCTTCAGCTGCAGAAGTGTGAGTCTGGCCAGGATGGGAGACCTGTGTGGGTTTCTGGAGAGTGTTAGCAAGAGGAGCTTGTGAGCTTCTTCTACACGGCCCATCTGGTACAGGGCATCAGCACAAAGGATCCGTGATGTTTCATCAGAAGTGTCCAGCTCCACCAAGAGAGAAGCCAGCTGGTAAACCCCAGGGGCATCTCTGGAGGAGAAAAAAATAAACAAAAAGGGAAAGACTGCCTTCAAGGAGCAATGCTGATGAGAAAAACAGAGCCTCTTTGTCTCACCTGGAAGCTAAGCAGCAGCTTATCAGTCCAGTATCAAAATGGAAGACATTTTACCATGTCCAGCACCACAGATATCTCTGCCACTTATTTATAATCATAATCCCTCTTTAAAAAAAGAAACATGTTCTTAAGCAGTTGTGGGTCTAAAGAAAGGTTAAATAATGGTGCATACCTGTGGTTGCAGCTGATACCACAATGGGAAAAGGAAAAAGTAACAGTGACAGTGGGGAAAAAAAAAAAAAAAACCCAACAAAATTGCCATGTCTAGTGCTTGTTAATTTGCACAGACTTGGACGGGTTGTAGCAATAGGTAGCTTCTTGTTCCAGAAGCAGTGAAGAAGATGAGCAATCTTTTCTGCCCTTTAAAAAGATGATTTTAAGTATTAAACCTGCAGAGTGGCTCTGTTACACTTTGCTCTACCTTCAGTCTCAGGTTTTACTGGATCTAGCTGGAATAGTTTGGTGTTCCTGTCTCAGATCTCCCAGGCTTAAATATGACATGAATACAGCTGGCATTGAAATCAGCAATCTGGATTGCCAGCAGCAAGTCCATGTGCAGCAGCACCTCAGCTCTGTCCTGCAAGGACACTGGCCAGGGGCTTGGTGCTTCATGGCACTCCTGTCTCGGGCCAAGTGGTCTACCATGGATTAACTGCCATAGAAAGATGGAGCTGGTTTGGCTGCATGGATCCTGCCACATTCTGACACAGCAGCACACCAGTATTTTGTGGGCATAACCACAGTTTTATTTCAACCTGTTATGTTATTTAGGAACTTTAAAAGGGCCTATGTCCTATTCTGTTATCTGAAGCAAATACTCTCTACTATGTGAGCCACCCTCCTTCTGTTAGGGGGCTGAACTGCCTCCTGGGTACCTCTTCTTCTGGAGCATCTTCTGTCCTTCTTCCTGGAGAACTTTTAGCAGCAGTCCTCTTTGGTTCCACGGCACATAGGACTTGATTGTGAAGATGGTTTCTTCCAGTTTTAACTGGCAAGCTGTGATATAATCCAGGGCTGTCAAGTAATGGCTGCCACCAGAAATTCGGGTAAGTCCACGTCCACACAGGGCTTTGATGCAGCTGTTAGGATGTGGGGAATCGTGCTCAATGACCTTTTGAAAGTCCTGCAAGGCTTGCTGATGGTCATGAGTGTGGAGGGAGCAGAATCCTCGCAGTGCTAAGAGGGTATTGTAGTAAGTTTTCTGCTCTGCTGCCAAGAGGTGGTCACAGATGTCCAGGGCAGTTCTGATGTGTCCCTGCAGGAGGTGGCAGTCTGCGAGCCGAACGCTGAGCTCACGGTGGGACCCTGGGGAGATGTGCAGGAGGAGCTGGAGTGGCTGGATGACAGCAGGGAGCAGTTCAGTACCATGGTTGTCTCTGAGTTCAGTCCGAGTACGCACAGCCTCCCTGTAGGCTGCAAACTTCACCTCCAGGACCATTCTAGCCTGTTCTTCTATCCTCTCAGTGTCACGTGGTGAGAAAAGCTCTTCAAAGTGTTTCATTGCTTGGGCAGGGCTTGCTGCAAAGGCTTCTGCTAAATCCTGCATCATTTCCTGCATCCGTCCACCCAAGCAGAAATACGCAGCAGCCCTCCCCAAGAGCAGACCCAAAGCTTGCTCATCTCGGGGGTTATCCTCAGCTGAGGAGCCCTTCAGGACCCTGTTACAGACTGCCACACACTCCTCAAATTTGCTTTTCTTAAGGAGGTAAGCTGCCTGCACCCTGCCCACCCCGACATCACCCGGTGCCACTGCGGACAGGAACTCAAAGCAGTGGCCCAGCCACTGGTCCAAGGAGCTGCAGCCTGGGCTTGCCTCCTGACCTGCTGAGAGATAGCCAGAGAAGGCCTGGACGACCTGTGGCACGTGCTCCCTTTGCCTAGTACACACGTAGGCCACCGCCTCAGCCCGGTGCATCACAAAGGCTTGGATATAGTCCACAACTCCCCTCCTGACCTCTGTGCCTGCCAGCACCCGTGCCAGCGCCCTCAGCAGCAGCAGCTCCATCGAGGGCTCGGGGTTAGCCTGGAGCAGGGCACTGCATTTACTCACCACCTCCTCTGGGCATCCTCGCCTCAGCAGGGTCTCCAGTTTGTATACTGAGGATGCCATATTGTTGGGATTTAGGGTGGAGAGAAAGATGGCAGCTATTCCCACACTGGGGGAGACAACGGCCAAGTTCTTGCTCTGGATCTTGGGAATCTGATTCTTGCCTTTGCACCACATCTCCAGAGTGGCTATCACCTTCTCCCAGAGCCCTTCCTCTAAGGAATTCACTTTCTGCACTGCCGTGGGGGCACTGCAGCTGAAGGCAGCCGTGTAGAAAGCAGTGGCTGCTGGTATCTCCTGCTGGGTGAGATGCTGGTCCCCTTCTTTGCAGAGCAGCACAGCAAGTTCCTGAGATGACATTTTCTCCACTTGTATCTTCACCAAGTAGCCTCACACATGTGACAAGTGCCTGTAAAACAGAAAATCATTGATGTGAGGGGCTGTGGGGCAGTTTTCCAGCTGATGGACATAAGCAAGCCTAAGGTGCTGAAGAAAACCAGGGGTTTGTCACTGACAGGCTTACAGGGGAGCAAAGCCTTGAGAAGAAACACTACAGATGTTCTTAGTCTGCAGCCACAGAGCACTGGCCAG